CTTGCAAGAGGAGAGCAAATTCCTCTCTTGCCCGCCCAGTGAGCACGTTGTCACAGATCATCTGCCTTTCTATTGGGTCTATGCAGTGACCTTAAAGCAGTTCTTTGTAAAGAGTCAAAATCCTGTTGCTCTCAGAGTCTTATCTCATTTCTTCAAGAAAACAAAATACTACCTTTAAAGACACAACGAGGAAAAATATGTTTTCTACCTCATTTTATTTAGCAGTGAGATATTAGGCCAAATCCCACTTACATTATTCACCCAAGTAAACCTATTAGCTTTAAGAGAGGCCATGTGGCCTAGTGAATAGAGCAGAGGACTGAGCCTCTGGGTTCTGTTCCCACCTCTATCTGGGTGACTTTGGGCAAGTCACTTCAGCAGTCTGTGACTCAGTTTCCCTGCCTGTAAAATGGGAATAATGATACCTCTTTTCTTAAAGCGATTTGAGATCTACTGTTGAAAAGAGAGGTGAATTATCATTAAATGACATTACACCTAATTCATACCAGTGTAACTGAGAGTAATAAGGCCTAATATATTTACTCTGCAGCACAGATTTTACTGGTGGTGTCATTGGGACAGTATGAAGACTGGTATAGAAAGAGATTGCACCAAATCCAAAGTGGTGGTTTGTTTTACTGAAATGAAACTATGAAATCTTGACAGTTTTAGAATGTTCAGCAATGCTGTGGGGGTGGGGAACCCAGTTACCCCACCAGATAATTAAGAAAAGAAATAAGATGACTTTAGATTTTCTAAGATCCTGCTTCTGCTTGCATTGAATTCAATGAAAATTTTGCCATTGGCTTTAGTTGGAGCAGGACCTGGCCCTTGAGCCACCTTGTCCTTCAAACCCTGCCTCATGTTAATAACCTTATTGATTTTACCCTTATTACATTTTATAGCACTTTTTGGTGAGGGAAGTATTGGGCCCTAAACCCTTGCATGTTTGTGCAAATGAAGGCTGAGGTCATACAATGTTATTTTGCTGAGAGTGCAACTTTTTGCAAGGCATTAAGCCCCAGGAGCCATCTCTGTGCCTTTCCAAACACCAGCAACAGAAATCAGCCAGCCGTGCGTATTGTTGTTGTACTAGCACGTGGGAAGATTTGGGGAGGAATCCATCTGCCAGGAGCAGGAATCCAGCCTGCCAGGGAGAATGAAGCACAGAAGCAACCTGAGACTGCTTTGGCAAAGGCGAGGAGGAGCACTGCCCCAGGAAGAAGTGATCTGAAGGCGTAGCTCCTGTGATCTGCAGCTGGCACCACCTGGCTGGAAGCACCAAAAGCTAATGGGAAAGCACTGGTCCCTAGCCAATTCTGTCTGAGTTAGCGCTTCCAGAATTGGTCTATGTGATGAAAGACAAGATGATCCCTGCTGAAGTAATGGAAACATTTTAAGCAGGTAATGTCCATAAAGTACTTTGAAGATGTTACATGCTAAATGCTATTATTATTATTAATAGCCCTGATTAAAGAAGGTACTTAAGAATGCGCATAAGTCCCATTGACTTCAGTGGCTGAATTGTGGGACCATAGATAGTAACTGCTAGGCCAATTTTGTGATGAAGCAGCAGGACTGAAAGCCAATGGCCAGAACTACAGAGGAGAGGAGGCCAGGAGTAGAAGCGTTTGTTGTCAAGTAATGCAAGGCAGGAGTGAAGTCTATTGAAGACCTCCATGAAAGAAAGGCTCTGAACTGGGATGACAAGGAGTGCCATAGATCAGGAGTGTGATTCCTTGGCAGAGCTGTGCTGATGGTGGGATGTGTGGAAGGAGTAACTCGGTTGCTACAGATCCTGACAGGTGCAGTGCCAGAGCATTTGAAGCCTCAGAACTGGAACAGGAGGGTTTTTGCGAGTCAGGGTTGAAGTGTATGTGAGGAAGTTGGTACAGCACCTGCCATGCCATGTCCCCATTGCAGTCAGTCATTCCCATTAATTAGCCTCTCAGAGTCGGTAGGGTAACTCCCACCTTTTCATGTTCTCTGTATGTATAAATATATTCTCTCTGTGTTCCATTCTATGCATCCGATGAAGTGGGCTGTAGCCCCCGAAAGCTTATGCTCAAATAAATTTGTTAGTCTCTAAGGTGCCACAAGTACTCCTGTTCTTTTTGTGGATACAGACTAACAAGGCAGCTACTCTGAAACCTGTCATTCAAGAATGGATTTTTCCCCACAATGATGAATGAGCTGTCATCTATTCTTGAAAACAAATGTAATGATTCCTGTGTGATATCATGCACCTTTCACCCCTCTGAAATGTTGACTGCACACACAGTTTCAAACACTGTGCTCCTTTTCTGGAACTACCTCCTGCTCTCCCAGATTTTGATAAGTTTCTGGGGTTAGAAAGTTAAATAGCTACGCTCCCTGAGCTCTGTTATGGTCTGCCATGCTGATGAATGGTAACGTCCTCAATGTAATCAAGCCATGTTTGCATGGTGCTTAGCACTGTAAATATTGAAGGAAGACTGGAAATTTATAAATGGATAAGCACTTGTAGCATTTATGGCTAATTTTTGGCTCAGAATAATCCTTCATATGCTGGGGACGGTGATGATGTAAGAGGTCAGGACGGAGCCCTAGCACTCCACATGCAGCAAATAGCCAAATAAAACACTTGAAATTCAATGCATCAGAAAAGAAATAAAAAGCAGGATGGAAAATCCAAAAGCTCTTTATAGAGTAATTGAGGAGATACTCAGAATTTCATCAAATCATAGAATCTCAGATTATCATGATGATCATGAATCATGATTATTTTATTAATTACACTAATACATTTTATTTCTATGGCATCCACCTGCCTCTTCCTGTAAAACACATTCATAATATAATTTAAAACAACAATTAAATGAAACAGAAAGGCAGCAATGGCAATCACTAACTCTTGCCTAAATAACGCTTTGTTCCCCCCGTTGTTGTTATTATTTAGACTTATAAAACCTCGGAGATGTTTTTTTGAAATAGAAATAGTTATTTCTGCACTTTCCCATCAGATCACTTATTTATCAGGACAAACACACTCCAACATGAGTGTAGATAAAGCAGCATGTGAAACCACTCTTCTTTTCAGATGCAACCCACAGAGACTTTCCTCGTTGTGAGCAAAATATTTATTTTGGCAAAAACAAAATAATGTGTAGTCTGACAAGGGAGATAGGAGAGGTAGGATGGACAGTAAGAAATTGGGCTGAATTGAGACTTGTGGTGAGAGCCGGGTCAGAAATGGTATTCCCATATTGCAAAATTTTTTGAGATTTCAAAACATTTTCCCGGCCTGAATGAGGAAAAAAGTTGAAATCTTGATTTTTTTTTTGTGAATAATAATAATAATAATTAAAAAAAATCTGCTCAGGTCAAACAATATGTTTTGTTTGTTTCAATTTTGAAATTTATCTTTCTTTTAAATATCTTTTAGTCTACATTTATTAACATTTCAAAATGAAAAGTCATTTTGAATCAAAAACCTGAAATTTTTCCTTATGGAAAAGTTGAACCAGGATATTTTGACAATTTTGAAACTTTTCAAGTTGGGAGAATCCTTGAAACCAAAACAGTTTGATGAATCAGTGAAAAATTAGAGCAGTCCCATTGATTTCATTGGGACTGCTTGCATGGGTAAGTTTAGTGTGAGGTATTGTGATGTTGGTGTGAGTGGATGCCACGCCACAGAAGTCAGTGGAAGTGTGCCTGGGTACACCAGGTCTGAATTTAGCTATTGTACATTGTGGAATAGAATAGAATGATTTAAATGTATTGTGCTGGGTATGAATTTGGCACCATTCACTGGATTTTTAGCTGTAATTCTTGTACTTCTGTACTGTCAGAGGAACTTTGTGTAGTGTCCAAAGCAATGGGCTGGGAGTCAGGAGACTTGAGCTCCATTGCTGGCTTGGCTGCTGACTTACTGTGGATGAATCATTTAATCTTCCCTTGACTCAGTTTCTCCATTTTACAAATGGGGCATAAAGGCACTGACCCAGCTTTGTAAAGTACTTTGACGTGGTTGTTTGAATGATGCTCTGGAGATGCAAAGCAGAGGATGGGTATAACAGTGCTCATTGCAAATGAATGGTTGCTAGACCTTTTCCAAATAGAAAAACCTTTTAAAGCGAGAGAATGGATGAAGAAGTCTCAGCATTTCTTCTGATTGTTTTGATCACCGGGAAATATTTTGCAGCTTTCCGAAGTCACCAAGAAGCGTCTGACCCTGAACAGGGCAGTCAATCGCCTTCAAACTTTTCCTTGCATGTTGGGATCAAAACAAGAGTTAAAGAGAAACTCATGTTGTTGTTGTTGAGAGGCTCCCCCCTTTCAGTGGCAGGAAGTTTCTTTCTTGACAGCAGGTTGCTATTTTCTCTGAGGAGTTTAGTAATTAGCTAGATGACATGCCCCGTATTACATGTAGAAGCTTGGCTACAAAAGCCTGCGTGTAGAGGAAGCAGCCCAGAGTCCTGGCTTGGCTGAGACACACACAACAGACAAGACATAGCTGGATCTTGACCTCTGAACATGCAGAAGGATCCCTGCTGAAGTGGTTTTTTTATTGCTGTAGACTGCCCTGGCTTGTCTTTAGTAAGAGCCACCTGAACTTCAGACCCCTCCCCTCTCCCTTTGCTGTCCCTTCCGCATCTTCCAACAGATTGCAGCCTGCAAAAGGATCTGCTTCAGTGTGTGTGGGGTGTGTGTGTGTGTGTGTGTGTGTGTGTATTGCCTGGAAAAGTGTGAGCCATCTTTTGGGAAACGCCAACTACTGAGTGGATCTATGAGGCTGCTTCCTTGTTTTCTAGTTTAAAGAAACTTTCCCTACGTGGAGTCCAACTCCTGAAAGTGACCTTTGCGGGAGGCTGGCTGGGATCAGAGGGCAGGAAGGCTCGGGAGAAGAGGAAACCTGGAGCACCAGCCAGGAGGCTGGAAGGCGGCTATTGGAAGGAACTCGTGCGGCTGTTGTTGTGGGATGAGAAGCCGCCAGGCGCCGGCCGCGGTCCCTGTGTGTTTGACAACAACCGCTCCTGGTCCTGCCGGGGCCGTGTGCGGGAGAGCTCTGCCAGCGACAAGGTAATTCCTCCCTTTCTCTTTCTCCTCGCCTGCAAACGGCCGAGCCCTGAACGGGACAGACTCGCCCAACTTCTTCTTCTCCTTGTTCGGGTCTCTTGGCAAATGAATGAGCGCAGCCCGTGGACTCTCTCCGGACGCTTTGATTTCCGGCGCTTGGATCATGCAAAGCGGGGAAGACAGGCAGTGGTTCCCTCTCGACTTTCCTTTCCCCCTTCCCTAGCTGCAGTGGGCTCCGGATCAGACCCTCAACCCAGCACATCCCAACCCTCGGCGGGCCCAATCCAGCCCCGGGGGACCTCCAGGGAGGTCTGGCTGTCCTGGTCTTGAAAGGAACAAGGATCTGCCCAGCGGCACTGGGGTCAGAGCCAGGTCCGTGCGGTGCTGGGCTGGGGGGTGAGTTTGCAGTGTGTGAAGCGCAGTGGCTTTTCTCCTGAACTCCAGACAGACAGGGGAAGGGTGAGGGTGTTGGCAGGTTATGAACCGACTGCCTTTTGCTTTAAGCATGACGGATTCTCTCTCCTTCCTTTCCTTTTAAAGAGATTAGGGGGTCAATAGAAATCTGTGTTCAGGGGCATGGTTAATATACTTTGCACACATGTGACGATATGAAAGTGAACGTATGACGCTTAAAAAGGAGTTTAAACCCATCAACGGGACAGCCACACACAGTCACATGAATGGGCCCTATGCCACAGTCCTTACTCACCCCGGCAAACTTTACTCACCTGGGTAATCCCATAAGAAATGACTTGGGTTTGTGAAGGTTGTGAAATCAGACTCGTTCATTGTGGCTGTACACAGATATTGATCAAAAATTCTGTAACCTTAAAGGAACCAACCTTGCAAATGAATTGATTTCCTCTGCACTCCAACAGATTATACATAATACATTATGCCACTCTCTTGAGCAAATACCTGCAAGAGAAAGAGGTCTTTTTAAAAGTATACACTTTCTAGGCATTACAGTCAAAATGTATTTTGAATTCCAATTGTCAGAGGACCCAAACTGCGCAAAGTCCATATATGATTTGCCACAAACCATAGAGCATAAAGTAATATAAAGAAATCCTTGCACATTAATTATGGGAGAGAATAATGAGTTTAAAGAAAAAAGATATTTCCTAGACTGGGCCAGATTCTGACCTCATTCTGAGCTTACATTTGTATAACTCTACTGACTTCAGTGAGGTGACTTACTGGTGTAAATAGCATTAGACTCAGGCCTTGTATTTTACTTACTGAGGGGCTGATCCAGAGCCCATTGAAGTCGTGGGGAATATTTCCATTGGTTTTCATGGGCTTTGGACCTTTTCTTGAGGTCTCAACCCTGCAGCCCTTTCTTATGTGGGTAGTCCCAATAAAACCAACAGGAAAACTTGCCCAAGTCAGATTTACTCATGTGAGTAATGTTTACAAGATCAGACTCATAGGTTCCTGTTAGATTGTATGTTCAGATATCCGCCTTTGCTTATGCTGTAGGTTATATGTTAACATTAGGAATAATATTTCAACATACAATAATAATATAATACAATAACTAACTTTTAAGATGACGCTTCACATTTTCTCTCTGCTAATGACAGACTGATTCCCCCCCAACCCCCCAGATTTAGTTCCTGCTGTTTGCAAGAAAATCAGAAAGCTTCTATTTTTAAACAAGGTTGGTCTACTGTACGAATATTAATGTTACACAGGTCTGAAAGGCTGTGCTGATTACAGGCTATTAAAATCTAAACGCTTGATATGGTGAACTAGGTCTAAACTTGCCGTAACTGTTTAAATCAAGTATTCATGGAATGCCAGTCACTCCCTCCATGATATCTTGAGCGATTGGCTCTGGGGAAATGGAGAGAAGAAAAAAAGGGCCAATTTTATCTCAATGAAAATATCCTAACCAGTGTCTGACTATGGGGTAGTCTGATTGGAGACTCTTTGAGGGCCTGATTCTGCGGTCCCTGCTGACACCAGGAATCTGGTTGAAATCTGTGGGAATGCTTGTAAGAGCAGGATTTGGCCTGTGATCAGACAACTGTCTGGATTTAGGCCAGAATGGAGTCTTTCTGCTGTCCCCAGCCTGTCTCCTTATTGCAGTAGGATGTGCTAAAAATCTACATATTGTTCAACCCAATATGTGAATTTAGGCCGAATGTCAGGAAAATTTACCTTCGAGTGAGATCTGTGCATCTTTGAAATAAATAGGTAGATATCTTTTTAGTTAAGGCCATGGAGAATATACTGTGAGGAGCAATTCTGGTAGAGCAATTAATTATCTGAGCAGAGAAGTCTCTCGACCACACTTCTCTGGTTCTATCATGGCCTAAGACAATGGGCCAAATCCTTGTGCCTTCATTGACACCGGTGGAATGTCATGGGTGTAACCGAGGGCAGAATCCGGCCCCCGGCTTCTGTGTTTGTAGAGGTTGTTGCTTTCCGAAGCCTAGCTTTGTTACTTATTGCTAGCTGGGCTGAAGATGGTAGCTTTGTTGATTAGTGAGTTTGCATGCAGTGCATCCCCTGGTGGGTGAATAGATTTTAAGAAATGTTGTCCTAGCTCATTTCTTTTGGTTATTTTGCTCATGTGCCAGGCCTGGTTTATTGGACGAAAGACCTTGGTTGAAGTCCTACTACAGCAAGAGCACCAGTCTGCTGTAATTGTAGCATGCACATTGTTTGAATGAAGGGGTTGTTGATGGTTCTCATTCAGGCCAATGTAATAGCTTCCCTTCTAGAATCTATGGAGCAGATGGGAAAAGCTGCCTGATGTGTAAAGAGGAAGAAGCAGGTGCAGCTGTCCAAAGGGGAAAAAAAGAAAAGTGTGTGGGCGCGTGCACACGCAAACAAAGCAGAAAGATGGCATTGTCTCAAGAATGAAAATTGCACAATGAAGTGCTGAAAAATTGAAAACACTGGGTGACACTCCAGCCCCATTGAAGTCAGTAGGCGTCTTGCCATTGATTTCAGTGGGGCCAGGATTTCACAAAGTGGCTGTGCAAACTGAAGCTGAACTTGTTCAGCTGATCACTGTCAGGTTTAACTGGCCTTGGCAGCATTACATAGGCCATGTTATCCATCAAGATGGAGTGGGGAATATGTAGCTAAGTGGGTGGGAGACTTAGCTATTTTTCCAGGGCAGGACCATTCTTTCAGGTCTGCATGTCTCCTCTTCATAAGTTTCTTCAGCCTATATAGTGTTTTATCCTGTATGGTACAAGGCTGGCCAAAATGTTTTGAACAAACAGGTTTCTTGGTGGCAAATGGCTCTTTATTCAAAATTGAAAATGTTCACCAAAGATCGTCCACTTTTGAAATCTTTCACAATTTTTTTGATACGTTTTGTTTATGATTTTTCATGTATTGATTTCCCCCCTCCTTTCCTATTTCCCTTTTATTTTGTTCCTTTTCCCCTCTTTCCACAGTTATTTTCAAAAGTGATTACAAAAGAAACCAAAAAAAAAATGAAAAATAGAAAGAGGAGTAAAAGAAAAGAAGGAAAAATGAAAATCAATAAATGAAAAAAATCCAAAAATGACAAAATCTGAGTCCACTTCGAACCCTGTGAAACAAAAACAAACTGGATTTTTTTTGCAGATTTTTTTGCAATCAGAGTGTCTGAGCACTGAGTGTCCTTAAACTCCTGTTGATTTCAATGGGATGGGGGAGCTCAGCAACTCCTAAAACTGGATCCATTGGTTTTTTGACCAGTCCCACTCTCTCTTAGAGCCCAAATTCTCCTATTTAACTGTTTAATAATTACTTATTCCCAGAGTCTTCTTTAAAGTTCCAGTGCCATTGAGAAATTGGTAGCATGTATTCTTTGCTTTTTCTTAACGGAAAGTGTGCATGTGGGGTGGATAATTGCCTTTTAATTTTCTTTACCTTGGCGTAGGGTGGATGCAGAGTATGACCTTGACATGGAACTCAGTTAATACTGCTCCTGGTCAGCCAGCTGCATGTTTGTTATTGCCCCGTGGGAACTAAACGTGCTGCTTCTACAGTGACCTCCCCCACTCACCAGATCCCTGCCAACTCAAGCTGCGAGTGACCCAGTCTGGGATTTGAACTTGTGTCTCCAACATGGTGGCACACTGCCAGCTGTGTTTCAGTTTTTAAATGCTGTAGACTTTTAGTTTTGCTCTTTAGGGTTTGTCTTATTTGTCAGGACTTTTGAGGTCAAAGATGGGTCTAGTGGATGTACGGATCTGTGGGCGTAGGAGGGGTGTAGGCATTTTTGACCCTCCTTTCTAAAACCTGGCCCTTGAATTCTTGTTGCTGAATTACAGTCTGAAGAACAGAGGTTTATTTTTCTGCTCGTCGCTGACATTTTGGACACGATTTTGTTAGAGAAGGCCTTTAATTCTCTTTTAATTGACAGATTCACTGCAGATTTGCTCTTTTTTTATGACCCATAAACTCTAGTTATTAATGCCATAAGGTGACATTTTACAAACATTGCAAAGCATGTCCGTGGCATGTGAAACAACTTTGTTGGTCTCAGCTTGATAATTAATGGGCATTGATCCATGTCTGAAACCCACCATGCTTCTCTGTAACCAATGTCTGTAGTTTTCTGCTTGGGCAAGGTCTGCAAATGCACAAGCTGTATAACAAAATGACTTTTCACTTGTGGGGTGGGGAACCGTCCCGCTCAGAGCTCAAGTCATTGTTTGGGGGGGGGGGGTCTCTGGAGCTTTCTGATCGGAAGGCGCTGCCCAGTGGATACAACAGACTCCAGCTACCACCCTCGTCACTCTCTATTGTTCCCCCTCTGTCTTTTAAGATGAAAGAAGAGCTGAGTGGCATTATTTATTTTTTATGATGCCATTTAAAACACATTTCCTAGATGTCTGCTGGTGAACGACTGCTTTGACCTAGGTTTGGTTCTCATATCTTCACGTACGGCTACAATGTTTTCGCGGATCATTTTTTTTCTTCCTGTTGTCCCATAAAAAGAGGAGATGGTGCAAGCTACGCACACAGTCTATACAGATCTCCTGCCAGTT